AAAAAAATACAAACTCAGGGCTGTTTGGTCACTTCTCACTTCCTTGTACTTGGCACACCTAGCCTTGTCAGCACAATGTTGAATGTATTATGATGTTAAAATAGTGTAATTTCCTCAAACTCTTCTGCTTACAAATATCTACTTATAAAAAATATACATGATTGGGGTGACAGAAAAAATCCTGGGTTTAAGTATTAACTGTAGCCATCAGTTATACTCCGCTTGATCTTCTCATTACCAGGGACTTGGATCTTCTGGTGTCTTCATCAACACCATTTCACTCCCCCATTCAAGTATCATCTAATCACGATGCAGTGCTTTGACACCAATCAACTAAACACTGCTCCCAATACTTATACATTCATAAATATGTTCTCAATTTAGAACACAAACATTTCTACTACATAATTTTGTTCCAGACTGACTGACAAGATATGCAACAGTAGGTGTTCCTCCAAAACTCTCTTCAAGGGACCTGGCTTTGTAAAGCTCACCAGGCTGAACGGAAGCAGTGACTTAACAATGAAACTGTGAATCTGCAGAAGCCATCTGTCTCAAACTTCATCTATTTTCTCATTGACAAATTTTGGCCACTGGTGGATTCATAGCCTCAATCAGTATGCATAATGCATTTGACAAACAACTTGAAACTTGTCTTGGACAGCTAGCTACCTTAATGGGTCTGCTGTTGTCCCACATTTTCATTACTTTTGAATATACCTTCAAAACTGGTTTAACATTTCAGAAAATAAATCATTTTACTTCAACAATATACTGTTGGAAATGAGACAGTTAGTTTAGCTGTGTATGATCAATTTACACTTGGCTCATCATCTCAGACTACAAAGATATGTCATTATTAAAAAATTCAAGAGGAATCTAGTTTGGGGAGAAAAAAAGCCAACTCCAAATAGTGTGATCAATAAGGAGCTCTGGTGGTGCAGTGTCTAAGAGATTTGACTGCTAAGAAGGTTAGTGGTTCAAATCCACCCACCACTCCACTCCATGGAAGACGGGACAATCTACTTCCATAAAGATTTACTACCTGGACACCCAATGGGGATCACTGAGTTGGAAACGAGTTGATGACAGTTGGTAGTGTGATCAACGGTACAAACAGGGTCTTACAAGCGAGTTACTTTAAGGGGGACAGCACACCTGGAATACATAAACTCTTTATATACAGTTCTTTACTACATCTCACTTTGACCTACCTACATTGTGAGGTTATATTGTCATCACTGTTGAAAAGCTGTCCCACAGAGTAGCTGGAAAAGGACCAGTAGTTCTCCTGCATTGAGTACTGATTTTTCAGGAGCTGAGCTGAAAATGTCTAGGCCTCCCTTTCTCAGCATTTGCATTGTTCTTTCTAGTTAAGGATTACAAGAACCTATTCTTGGTATTTCAGAAAACTTTAGGGAAGACTAGCTCAATAGCTTGGGTTCTAAAATCTTGTGGTATTTTTATTATAATGGATTTAAGCTTATAACGATTATAGTATGCTCTGCCTGAAACATTTGACAGTATTACAGGGACTGGTAGAAGAAAAATCTCTTAATAAAAATACCTGATGATGGAAAAAATATAGTAAAAAGCAAACCTCCAAAAACCCATTTGTAGGCCATAAGAGCATAAGCACAACCATATGGGAGGAGATAACAGTCTCTCCCTTCATATATATTTTTTTATTTTCTTATTATACCTTCCCAAAACAGAGACATTCAACAGTAGTTAAGAATGGCCATCTCCCAACATTTAAAAAAACCGCACCCACCCCAATGGGTGAACAAAGTAAAGAGTAGTAACCTAGAGTTCAGCTGAGTAAGCCATTGTGGAGCCTTAAAGTTGTGAAGTCTTCCAATTTCAGAGTGATGTGTCTTCAACTTGTATCATCATTTTAGTGGAAAAACATAAATTAAATGTGGTGAAATGAGATTCATCTCCAGAGAGGATTAATAACATTCAGCATTCACTGATTTTCATATTCTTCTTTTGTGAACTGTGAAGAAAATGAATGGTAGCTAGAAGATCAATGGGATTCCAGCTTCAGCTGCAGATGGAATGACAATACCAGGACAAAAACACCTATATTTTGATTTACAAAGCTAACAGCAGTTTTAAATCTGCAACTTAATTACAGACCAACTACACCACAACCTTTTCAAATGGCAAAAATACAAAAAAGTTAAGTGTTACAAAAATATTTCAGAAAAAGTGCATAGTCTAAGTGCATAGTAAATAAAAGCACTGAAAAATATCTTGCTAGAGGGAGTTCAGCTTGGAAAAGTTATTACCAAAGCTAAACATTTTTATTTTACACAAACTATACTCAAAAATAGCTTTATGAGACTGATTTCTGGCTAAAAGTATCAAAGGGTTTATTCAAGAAACAAGTATCTTCACTGACAAAGGTGACTAGAAAAGAAACGGAGAAGCTGCCTACCCCCAAAAGTTCATAATACTCATTAAGATTTCTGCAGTGTTACGGTACTAATATATCCCTTAATTGCAGAATATGGGAATCATGGAATTAATTATTGCTAAAGTATTTTTCAAATGAAACAAAACAAAACAAAAAATTAGATCTGACACAGTATGACCAAACAGTATCAATTTACATTTTCAAGGTTATCGTACAAAACACCCACATTTACACAATAGGCTCCCGGCTGCGTTTTCACACAAATGTTCTTTTAATTTATTCTGACATGCTACAAATGAATAAATTACACCATTTAAAGAATTATAGTCAGTAAGTTTCCTTTCTCTTGGGTCAGAGAAAGAGCTCAGAAGTTAAGATTTGAGAGGAAGCCCACGCAGAGAAAACCTACAGAAGTGGGTGGGGCCAGGGAGGGTCAGCAATTATGTGAACCTCACATAGTGTGATGGTTTCCAACAGTAAGAGTCAATATGGTTATAGATATTTCATAAGGATTTTAAAGAAAAACTTCCTCCTGTAGTTAAACCCTTTAACGCTTTTATTCTTATTAAAATCAGTCCAGCTGTTAAGTCAGAGGCAGCAGGAGTTACAATACCAAGTTCTGGATGTTGCAGTACAAGGTACTGTGGCTGCAAGTCATTAGAAAACAAAAATGAAAGTATGCCTTTCCCCTTCAGACAAAAAAAAAACAAAAAAAACAAAAACCTACTTTAAAATAAACAAAAAAAATTTTGAGGAATAGTTGTAACACTAAATCTAAAATGATTTGCAAAGAAATATACCTAACAAATGACTTGGAGAATTCTATTGAAAAATCAGGGAGATTCTGAATTCATAGTGAGTTAGCAAGGCATTTTTTGTGTTTTAAAAAAAAAAAAAAAAATCTCATTTCCTTACAGAAAGTTTTTAGTTTTTAATGAACTTGTAAACAAAAAAGCTCCCATTTCAAAATAAAAACAAAATCCCAGATCATATAGATGTTTACAGTGATTACATTTATCTAAGCAACATACATACATGTTCAGTTGTAAGATGGTAACTAATTTTCTGTGACAAATATGTTTTTTTTTCTTTAATACCAAGAACATTATAGAGTTAATGCAGAGTCCTAAAGATAATCTGGTAGTCACTAAGTTTTTCTTAAGTCTTCACTTTAGATGCTGTTATTCTCGCACAGGTAAGCAGGCAGTCTTTCATGTGCTCAAACACTGGTATTTTTGGTTGCTACTGTTATCAGTTGGCTTGCAAACAAGAAGCCAACCATTTTGAGAATGTTTTAAGTGAACAACTTGCAAACCCCAGGGATGGAAAAACCCTAAGAATGCACAATTGTGAGCGTTTATAAGCATCACAACTGTGGCTGAAGACTGTTCATGCCGTTCTTCTGAAATGACATCTCAAAGCAGTATAGTTCAAAATATAAGATTTCAACAAAAAAAAATTGGCATATGCACAATTTCTCCACCAATCTGTGTGTCAACCATTTAGTTAACTTTTCCACTTGAAAAAATGCAATAGAAAACTGGACACCAAGTTTCACTATCTCAGTTAATATTCACAATTACAGCGGCTACAACTCAGGATACAGCATCATCAGTGCTGCCCAGAGCCAGTTTATACTGAAATTAAGTTCTTTACACCAAGTAAATGGTTGTCCACAACCACTGGCTAGTGTACATATGAACTAAAATTTCTAGATTTGGGGAGAAACAAATGCTGCTCCGATCATCTGCTCTGCTTCTTCTGTTCTTCAATTCATGCTTAGAAACCTAACAACAAAAGGAAAAACACAAAAGTGGATGTTAAATTCCAAGGTAAAAATTTTACCCAAAAACCATACCCAAAAGTAGAAAAATTGGGTTGAACTGATCCAATAATCACTTTATAATGGTGATTCATGTTCTTTCTCATCTATATGAAAAGTATTAGCTTGCCTTGATTAAAAAAAAAAAACTCACTGCCATGGAGTCATTTCAGATTCACAGCGACCCCTCCGTGGGTTTGAACCACCAGCCTTCTGGTTAGCAGGCTAATGCCTTAGGCACTATGCTACCAGAGTCCCCACTGACTCATACCACCTCAGAAACTCAAGAAGGGGTCACTGTAACTTGGAACCGGTTCCATGGCAGTGAGTTTTTTTTGAGGTAGGAATGGTTACATAATAATTTAATGGCTTCCAATAAACACATAATTCTCAAACTAGAGAATTATTTCTACACAGCAATTTTGGATCTTTAAAAATTCTTTACTTCTAATTAGGTCATTAAAAAATTTATATTTTGCCACTGATTTAAAAATGCAAACAAGTGATTTTTTTTTTTGTCTCAAGTTTTCTCCCCTTGCCAGCACACACACACCCCTCCAACCATTAGGCCTAGGACTTCTACATAAAAGGGACCAGGTTTGAATATAAGAAGCTTTCAGGTCATAACTGCTGCTTATTTTATCTATGTGAAGATAAAATAAGCATCAAAATGAAAACAAGAAGAGAGGAAATGGCTACTTCTCAACAGTAACATGAAAAACCCATGAGCACCTTCTTCCATCATTCATAGCTACTCTTCCTTGGAGGCATCAATATGTCCCCGGCTATCCCTTTCAAACTTACAGCCTGCTCAATCACAGCTCATACTACCCCAATAGGTCTCTGTTTTCTAGCATAAACCATGCGCTTTTCAATCACGAACTATCCCTATTCTTTCACTTTCAAACATTTATTGGGCTATCTCGAACGACCTTTGTGGGATAAATAAAATACTTCAATTATTCTCATTAGGCATATATAGCTTTGTTTTTTCAAAGATAATGACAAACATCTATATATCATTTCTGGTGAATATTCTCACTCATAAGTCGTTTTTTTCATTTGAGGGCACAAAGTCATTTTCATCCATGTAATAAACATATGCTGTAAGTTCTGAGGACAAAGACACGAGTTCTGTAGTCTTAATCTATCCGTAGTATCCTAACCGCAGACTACATGCAGAACAGACCACTGCTGAATGAGTACTAAGTTCCCAAGAAGCAAACACCAAAAATGAAAACAATGAAACTTTCTGAGCATATACTTCACCACAGTGAATACTGACTATTTGATGTGGTGGTTCAAACCCACCAGCCACTCCACGGGAAGGAAGACTGGACAACCTATGTCCGTAAAGATTTATCACCTCGGAAATCCAATGGGGGTTGCTATGAGTCAGAATCGACTTGATGGTAGTGACTTTGGTTTTACAGGGTTAACAAGGTGAATATACAAAGAAAATGCTGTCAAATCACACCTCAATGAAATTGTGACCATATTCCGTGACCAAATTCCAATTTAAAATACAGGATTTATTTTAAAATAGGTTAAGAATTAAGGATTAGCTAAATGGAAAGGACCCTTATTACAGCCAGCATCTGGTTTTAAGTCCTGCCAATTATACTTACACGTGCTAAAAAGAAGAAAGTTTTCATAAATACAGAAATTTTGGGTACAATAATATAAATTTTGAATAGTTTTATTATGCGGAATAAACCAAAGAAGGCTTTAAAAAAAAAAAGGGAAAATCACTACTACTGACAAAGTTAAAAGAAAGCATAAAAGTCCCATTGTCAGCCAACATACTAGGAAATTCTGTCTTTAATAATAATAGGGAAGGTCTAGATAAGATTTATATGTGTTCATCTTTTAATCTGATATTTAAAGAACTGCTAGGTCAATTAATGGTTACAACTGTTTATAGAGATTAGTTAATGGCGAGCCTAACAATAATCCTGCTAGAATGGAGCAGTCAATTCCAGATTTAACTCCTCAGATGGACCAATGGCAGGATACTCCACCCAAAGATCAAAAATGTTTCTCCAGTGAATTGTGCTAAGATGCTACTGAAGTTTGTTTAAGAAAAACCTCAATATGAACATTCAGCAGGTATTCAGCATTCAATCTTCAAGTGCTAAGCATTCTTTTCCCCAGCGCGCATTAGTCCTTGGTTTTCATCTTGCAGTTTTGAGTGATGTCTCCTGGCTTCCAAAAGTTCAAGAACCCATCTTTTCACATAACATCAGCCAAAATATGAGATAAATCCCTCTGTTCCTAAAAAAAAAAGAGGGAAAACATAAGTTAAAACAGGGTTGGAAAAGTTAGAGTGATGATTCAAGCATTAATGACTACATTTAAGTTTCTTTTTTTAAATAACTAACCAGGAGATTATATCCCTCAATTTGAACTCTATAAAGTACCTATCTACTCCTATTTGTGAATTGACTTGAGATGTATCAGATACTAGTTCAAAAGGGGTATTTGTGAGTTTTTGAAATTTAGGATCCTTCCATAGGATGAGGAGCTCTGGTGGCATAGTGCGCAAGGCATTGGCCTGCTAACCAGAAGGCTGGTGGTTGAAACCCACCAGCCACTCCCTGGAAGGAAAACCGGGCAATCTACTTCCGTAGAGATGCCACCTCCAGAACACAATTAGGGGTTGCTATGAGTCTGAACTGACTCCATGACAGTGAGTGTATGAGGTGGTGCAGTGGTTAAGCACTCGGCTGCTAAATGAAAGATCAACATTTCAAACTCACCAGCTGCTCCACAGGAGAAAGATCTGGCAGTCTGCTTCTGTAAAGACTTATGACCTTGGAAAGCCCTGTGAGGTAGTTCTACTTTGCTCTACAGAGCCATTGAGTCGCAATCAATTGCAACAGGTCTTTTGTATAAGCTACACATAACTTTTATAAATGATCTTGAACACAATACTCATATTCACTATGCAATGCCATTTATATTGAACTAACTTTTCCTACAGTATGTGTGGGGGTTGTTTACTCCCATATAATCAAGCCTGGAGAACTTTAAATCAGAGAGTGGCAGTTTTAACATAAAGTTAAAACCAAAAACAAAACCAAACCCACCGCTGTGGAGTCGGATCCGACTCATAGCGACTCCCCCTTGGGTTTCCAAGGCAGTATCACTACGGAAGTAGATTGCCCAACCTTCCTTCCAAGGAGTGGCTGGTGGGTTTGAACCCCAGCCTTCTGGCTAGCAGTCAAATGCCTTAGGCACTAGCCACCAGAGCTCCACATAAAGTTAAAGGGGGACAGAAAATTATAACTGCCTATTTCACAGAAACTAAAGAGGTGCTAAGGGCATTTGGGAAATATAAAGGGAAGATTTCCTTTTTCTCACAAGTAAGATAAATAATGATTTAAGTGTAAAAGGTATTATATATACCACTCCTAAACTGCATTTAAAAAAACAGATGATCTGAATTGTTCTGTCTCCTCTGTTACAGAATTCATTTTAAGATTTCTGAGGTCGTTAAATTCTTAAATACCTGTTAAAACTGCTTCTTTTCCCAGTTGGAAGTTGGTCTGCGTTGTATGTCACTGAGTCACAGCAACTCTGTACTCTTCATGGAGTTCTGACTGTTGTGTCACCCAGAAGATCTGACAAGTTGAAAAGTTTGATTGGTCCAGCAAGCCTTGGAGATATGAGCTCCATCCAGATCACAATAAACCAATTCTTGCATGTTCATCTTCATTTCCTGCTGAGTTATATAGTTCTTTTCTATCCAGCTTTTTTTTTGTCCATAGGGGAAAAAGCTGACAAAAACTGGAGATTGCAGCAAGCAGATACAGCTCCCTGACACTTCTTTGGACTGAGTGTGTTCGAGCAGATCAGTCTCTCCAGGTATTTCAAGGTCTTCCCCTGTGGTTTGGGCTAAGTTGCTGAGTGACCAGCCATGCTCCTAGCAGCAATTGGTGAAGTCAGAAAAAGTTATGCTAGATATAAATGGCAAGTGAAGCCCAGTAATTACTGGAAGGTAATTAAAGGAACACCATGGACACAGCAAGCTAATGAATGGAAAATACTTCTAATCTCTTTTGAATGCCAAAAATTTGACATCCAGCTATACCATTATGCTAAAATTACATGTAGTATATATGGCCGGGGTAGTGAAAAGATGGATTAAAATGCTAAGAGTAGAGAATAACAAAATGATGTGAGGATCTACCTTTGGCTTTATCACCTTCTGGAATTTTCTCCCACCCTGTTCCCTCAAATAAAGAAAATGGTAAATTTAACTGGATTCTGAATGTCCTAAAAATATTTTCTCCTTTCTTTACTAAGTCTTAGAAAGTACTTTTATGATAATCACATATATTTATAGAAAAGGGGGTGAAACGGATTCGGAAGAATGTCAGATATAAATCTCAGGTATTTCTCGACATGAATATAAACAATAATTATTATATTCTTGTGGTACTTGGGTGCTGAAAACCTAGTACAGCTCATAATGGGAATTAGGAGAAAACTTTAATTCTCCCCTAGTCTTTTGATGGGCTTTGAAATGGAGTATGTGAAAAGATCTAAGAAAAGTAATCAGGACACAAGTTTGCCTACTACACAGTAAGCCCAGGTTAACTGAGTAAGTTAGGGAGTTCTGGTGGCATAGTGGATAGGGCATTTGGCTGCTAACCAGAAGGCCAGCAGTTGAAACCCACCAGCTGCTCGCTCCATGGAAGGAAGATGGGGCAATCTACTTCTGTAAAGGTTTATAGCCTTAAAAAAAAAAAAAAAGATTTACAGTCTCTGAAACCCAATGAGTCAGAATCAACTGAATGGCAATGAGTTAGGTTTTGGGGTTTAACTGAATTAGTTAGACTTTAAAGAGTCTTTAGACAGTCTTGGTGAACTGCTAAAATACTGTATTATTTGCCATGGAGGAACATCAAATTTTTTTAAAAAAATAAATATATTCTTGCAATATGGAGATTTCCTTGCTAGTGGTTAGTTTATGAAATTTCCCAAACCTCTTAAAATACAACTCTGTGAGGAACAAATGACATTAAGTATAAATTTTTAACTAAAAAATTTGATGGGTGTTTTCATCATCCTGAAAGATTTCTTGAAGTCAATCAATTACGGAGCTGCATGAGCTCATCCTTAAACAAAAACCATGCTGCAGCAGACCCCAAAAGACTATGCTTTTAAACACCCTCCTATTTAGAGATTATAATTAGGAATAACTTAGAGCAGCTGTTTTAAAATTTCCTAGGAGATTTCTTAAGGGATGACTCAGGCAATGGAATGAGAGATCAGGCTCACCATTCATCATTTCATCCTATCCTCAGATTTGCTACGCTTTTGTGGCTTTCTATGTTGGAGTTTCATGCAAAATTTGTTTTGGGCACTAGGTTCTTCACTCAAAATAATACAGATGTTTTCAAGAAGGCAAAGAGCAAAACCAAAATAGTATTTTTTATATTCTGGGAAGGCATGGCATACTTTTGTATCAAGCAGTATTTTGCTTAGGGTTAAGTAATCATCTAGAAATGTATCTCTGAAAGCAGTTGATATGTGCTGTGTTTTATGTAAAGCCCAACATCTCAGAATTTCACAAGTCTATTATAATAGGAGCTCTAGTAGCACAGTGCCTAAGGCATCTGACTGCTAACCAGAAAGTTGGTGGTTCAAACCCACCAGCCACTCCACAGAAGCAAGACTGGGCAATCTACTTCTGTAAAGATTTACTGCTATGGAAACCCAATGGGGGTCGCTATGAGTCAGAATTGACTCAACAGCAGTGGGTTTGGTTTTGATTACGTCATAATGTGAATAAACCATTGTGTTCAATAATGTTATGAAATCTTTGAAAGACTGAAAGTTGCTTTTATGAAAAATAGCTAAAATGCAAAACAAGAATTAAACTTAGGTTTAATTACAATTTTTTTTCAAGGAAACATACTAACTCAGTGGTTCCAACTTCTCATCTTTAAGACCTGGATAAGGCAGGACAAAAATTCTGCTTGTTTATTGAATAAAAGGCACACAAGTAAACTAACAATGGAACAAATTCAAAATAAGGTAATTCTTTCTGAAGGATGCTGAATGCCTGAAGTGAAATGTTCTAGGTCAGATGAGATTTCAATCTAATTTCAATTCTAGAAACTACAACTCATGATGATCCTATTATCCCAGCTGGCTTTAAGCAAAAATAGGTTTGATTTTGAGAAAAAGCAAATACCCAGTGTAACAAGTCCTCAGTTTAGAGACTTCTACTTGGTCTTACCTAAATGGTAGGAACATTTGCTCAATGACATTCGTCATGTGGCTCATTAATAACTTCTTGGTACTATGATTAGTTATACAGCAATTAAAAGTCTCAAAAGGGGTAATTAACTCTCAATTAAGATGTAGAACACTGGGAAGCATTAGTGTTTGCTATCCTGAGCTTAAGTCTCATCATCTCAGAATCCCCATTATGTCAAACCTTAAACTCTCTTTCCCAAATACAGAAATATGGAGGGAAACTATTTTAACTTCATGCCTAATAGATGAGCTGCTGGGATGAGGATGACATCAGTTAATTGTACTTTTTGAAAAAGTAAATATCCTCAGATCAGAACACATTTTTTTACTGTTTAAATGTAATGCTAAAAATATGGACCAAAGGTTAACTGTTGAAGGTTAAGTTCAGACTAGAGCAGTCATCCAGAAATAATTAGAAACCAAAAACCAAATCCTACCTGCTCAACACTTCCAGAAAGTAGGCAAGTATCAAGAGGTAAGCCCCACAAAGGGGAAAAGAAAAACAAACCAGCAAACAAAAAAACATAGAAGAGAGGAGTGGAAATGTCTGGCACAGTGGTAAGAATTAGAGCTGTGTCCAAACAGCTCTACTTCTTAATAGCACTAAGAATACCAGAGAAATAGAAAACACATTTTCTGTTCAATGGCATTTGCCCCAGGTATCTTCAATTTAAAGGCCTAACTGCAGATCTCAATTCCACAATGGACCCCTAGAGCCCCAATACTTCTAAAATCTAAGAGCTAAAAAGGGAGCCATTTTGAAATTAAGTAGATATGCAGTTGAACAGCAACTAAAAACCAGACTTAATTTGTGACTAAGAAAGATGTGTTGAGTGTTTCAGATATCTGAGCATTTAGAGAGGAACTGAGATGCTCTGCAACCAAGACAGACACTTTGGGGACAATGCCAGACTCACCTCCTGAAATTAAATCAATTATTTATAATTTTCAATTATAAAAGCTAAATCGTTAACATGCAGAAAAAAAATCTCAACACTGTTAGTCTTAAACATTGTCAAAATACCATGGCTAAACAGATTCATTACTTAAAATCAACAAGTGTTAGGTCTAGGATTTTGGATTGATTGATTATGCCATATTACCAACACCAAATGTTTATTTTGGAAAAGGGTTAATGAATGAGTAAAAAAGATGCAGTTGTTAAAAATGACCCAAAATCCCAAGAGAAATGATATAATATACACACATATATGTATATACAAATACATATACATATATATATGAACAAGGACATTTGGGTTTAAAGTTAGTAGTCAAATTTTCCAAGGACGTCTGTTTTTTAAACATAGAGCCAAATTTTTTGATGTATTTTTAAACCACTTCCTTGATCTAACACTGTTAGAAAATGAATTACCCAATTTTGTGTTCAATTTTTTTCCCTGTAACGTCACTTGGTTCTTGGCTACTAACCTTTCATGTTACTCTTGGTTTTGTCAGTTTGCTTGCCTGTGGGGGTTTGGGCCTGCTGACCCTGCCCACTGGAAGAGGCTGCCTGCTGCGCTGCTTTCTGCTTTAACATTGTCCAATCAAACGTGTAGTCATATTGGTGGTTCAGGGTCCTGGAAAATACAAAATTTTATGTTAATCTTTCAAGACAGCGTCTAATTAAGTAACTTACTTAACTTTCAAAACACTGAGGGACATTTATTCAGGAACTAAATATTTTGTTTATTTAAATGTTGTAGTAATTTCCCTCCCTACATGAGTTGACTTTTTTAGTAACTGTTCAGTGAAACAATTCTACATTTTACATTTCAAAATTGGGGGAAATGATACTTCCATTCTGGTTTTCTGTACTGTAAGAATAAACCCTCTCCCTTTTCCA